CATCGTGGAGCATTGACTCCACCTAATTGTCTAGCAACGGCAGAAGGTGCCAAGCAAAAGAGAAGGGTAGTTTAGTGTCAGTCATCATATGCAATGTAAATTGGAGATTAATAGCTTTGAATTGCAGAAGTCACTAGTCAACTTTACCTCTAATGCTTATGCCTCACGTCAAAAAATGATAGTGGACATGAAAGAAGTAAAAGGTTTAAGAAAATAGACCTGAATGTACTTCAGAAATTGTCATAGTATGTACTCCCATACTGTAGTGTGGGAATCACAAGGGTCCATGGAAGATAATTCCATGCATGCAATCATGGAGTCAGCTTTGAATAACCAAACAAGAACATTAAAGTAGTTAAATCTATATGGGGACAAGCAAAAGTCGTCCAGTGGATAAGTGCCGATCTAATGGATAATATTTATATTGTGATACAATGCTTCTCATCTAAGGAGAGGCTACCCCACCACCGTGAATTTTTAATGATATTTTACATTATAAATCTATATCCACATAGTATGTGTCTTTTAGTTTGGGAGTGAATTCCACCAAAAACACGTTATAAGCATAATCTTGAGAAGAAATATGAACTGTGTAAAGGTTTCCAATTAGAGGTTTAGTTTAGGATAAGGAGGTTTGACCACTGCAGCGATTGATTATGTTTGACACTGTAATGTCCAACTGTCCTTGGAGAAAGATGTGAACCTCTCTAAAAGCATAGCAATTGGGAGGGACAAGAAGTAATGCTCCTGACCTTTGAACTTTTCTTGCGATAACTTTGCTGAAGTCAAAGGATGTGATGAGATTGACGTTGAATCTTCTCTTGACGTCAAAGGAATTCACCCACAATTATTTTGGATCTCTTCAGTCACTCTATCATCCCATTCTATTAACCCTCTCTCTCTCTCTCTCTCTCTCTTGCGGTATTGCTTGCCCAAGAACTGATGTTGTCATATGTGACAAATGTTCAGTATGTTTACTGCGAGTTGCTAGTCTTTGTATATTCTTCAACGCCAGTCTCTAAAGGTTTTCTTGCAAGAATGGAAACATGAATCTATCCTATTGTCTGTAACATCGACCACAGAAAAATGAATTGTAGTTTGTTGTTGGACCTCTGAAAGCTTCTCCAAAACCCTACCCAAGAAACACGATGACCGCAAAAGACCAAGGGTGCATGTGTAGACGCCAGTTGATTGCAACCAAACTTTATTGGTGTGTGGCAAATGCTCTACTAATAAAGATAATATACCAGGCAATAACAAAAGAATAGACTATGACATTGCACCTAATTCCGTCTTATTTGCCCCTTGCGTTACCATCCGTATTTGATGGAATCTTTAAATGTAGTGAACCCCCCCCTCCCTCCTCAACCACCACCACAACCTGCACGCAAAAAGCAGAAGGGGACGATCGATAAGCCCGTCAAACGATCAAATAATTATGATCTTGTTGAGTCTGTACAAATGCCTATGGATCCATCTTCCTGTGAATTACATATGCAGCAGTTATCATTAAATCATTAGTTGGATGATCATTGTCAGTGTCAGAAATCTAAGCTGATCGTGCAAACCAGTTGAAAGATTGATAGATTCACTGCATGGATCCAAGTGTGTAAATCCAACAGACGCATGGAACGCCGATGAAACATTAACGTAAAAGGGAAATGGAGAGAAAGGAGGCAGACACACATGACTTGCTTTAGTGCATATATATGATATGATAGCATGATTGATTCACTGCCAAGTGGGTAGAGAGCATCGACGTTGCAGAGTGGCTGCTTTATACTTTACTTTTTGGGATGAATGTGGTGAATATTCTACGCTTGATGCTGCTTATATATTTGGACTACCACCAGCTTGACTTCCTCTGTAAAGGACTCTTCCGCCTTCGCCATTTCCTCTTCCATGGAGTTCCTCACTATATAGCCTTCATCTTTCTCTCTTCCCTCTTAAAAATGGCGCATGTTGGAAGCATGAGTGTGTATGAGAGAGTGATGATGTCAAGGAATAGGGAGCACAAGAAAAAGCTCGTTGTATGGGCATTTGCAGTCTCTCTAGCCATAGCTTTATCTGCCGGCCTCGCTTTAAAGACCATAAAGCAAGCAGGAGCTAAGCCGAAGCCACTGGGTCACTCGCTGCATTCCCACAACGTAGTCTCCAGAGCCACCGACACGTCCACCGCCGTCACTGAGAGCTCTGTCGCTTCCACCTGCAAGTCCACCCTCTACCCGGAGGCATGCGAGGCGGCGCTGGCGTCGGTTGCGTCGACGGCCAGCACGAAGGAGATGTTCGACGTCTCCGTCGAGTCCGCGAAGAGCAAGGCCCGCGTGGCGCGTGACGTGGCTTACAACCTGACGCAGCCGTCGGCCCAGAAGTCCACCTCGCGCTCGCAGTCGAGCGTCAACGACTGCCTCGAGCTCCTGGACATCACCCTGGACCAGCTCGACGACGTCTTGCGCGCGAAGAAGAGCTCCGGCTTCCACGACGTCCAGACGTGGCTCAGTGCCGCGCTGACCAACCAGGCGACGTGCTCGGAGGGCCTCGAGACCGTCAAGGCCAAGGGCGGCGACTCCTTGAACGCCCAGGTGGAGAGCCTGTCGCAGTACATCAGCAACGCGTTGGCGCTGCATAAGAAGGTTAAGGCTAAGGACAAGGACGGCCATGGTGGCCGGAAGCTCCTGTCCGACAGGTTTCCGGAGTGGCTATCGGCAGGAGACCGGAGACTTCTACAGGCCTCTCCAGAGGACATCCGGGCTGACGCGGTGGTGGCCAAGGACGGCAGCGGGACGCACACGACCATCAATGAGGCGATCGCCTTCGTGTCCTTGGCCTCCAAGGGCAGCGGCGATGGTAGCACGAAAGTGATATACGTGAAAGCTGGCACGTACAAAGAGTACATCAACATCCCAACCAAGCAGAAGAACGTAATGTTAATGGGGGATGGAAAGGGCAAATCGATCGTTGTAGGCAGCAGGAACGCCAATGACGGCTACACAACGTACGGCTCTGCGACCGTCGGTATGTGTTTTCCAAGTCAATTTCCATATCTACCCTTATATATTCGTGGAATTACTACCAAGTACATTATCTGACGAGCAGTCTTAATCATGGCAGCTGCAATGGGTGCGGGCTTCATCGCGAAGGGCTTGACCATCATCAACAACTCAGGCCCAAGCAAGCACCAGGCGGTGGCGCTGCGCGTCGGCGCTGACAAGTCCGTGGTGTACCAGTGCTCCGTCCAGGGCTACCAAGACACCCTGTACACCCACTCCAACCGCCAGTTCTACACGGAGACCGACATCTACGGCACCGTCGACTTCATCTTCGGCAACTCCGCCGTGGTGCTGCAGAACTGCTACATCCAGCCCCGGAAGCCCGGGGGCGGCCAGAAGAACTCCGTCACGGCGCAGGGCCGCACCGACCCCAACCAGAACACGGGCATCTCCATCCAGAAGTGCAAGATACAGGGCTCGTCCGACCTGGGGAGCACGCCGACGTACCTCGGCCGGCCGTGGCAGAAGTACTCCCGGACCGTCGTGATGGAGACCTCCTTGGACGATTCGATCGACCCGGACGGTTGGGAGCCCTGGTCGGGAAGCTTCGCGCTGTCCACGCTCTACTACGGGGAGTACGCCAACACGGGGCCAGGGGCCTCCACCTCCGGCCGCGTCCGCTGGGCCGGCGTCCACCCGTCCCTCTCATCCAGCGAGGCATCCAAGTTCACGGTTGCGGAGTTCATCGTCGGGGACTACTGGTTGCCGAGCACCGGTGTCAGCTACACCTCCGGACTCTGATACCCTACTGGTTGTTCCACGGCCCCCAGGTCCAGGTAAACGGGCCCTTAATGGGCCTTAAAGCAAATGCCTTGTGGGCCTTAAGTGGTGGTGTACAAGCTGTGAATGTTATAATTTCCATATCGATGTTATAAATGCTGGAGACCTTAGAAATTCCTTTTTTTATTATTATTATCTCAAACTGTGTTGTTTGCAGAGTAAAACAAAATCTATCATTGACAAAATTATTTGACTATCCTTTTGTGATAAAACAATATTGGTTTGAAGTACTGACCCCATAATAACAAATGTTAGATGTTGTTGAGGATGTATGATATAAGTAGGCCAAGTTTTGTCTTAATTTGTTGTGGATGTATTGATCATTGAAGTATATATTGTTTCCCTCTTTACCAACTCCAGCTTTAAATTAATTATAAGCAAAATTATGCCAAAAATATAATTATAATTATCAATAGTAGAAATTATTGCCTGTTTGGTCATATTGGAGTAATTAACACCCTTGTGTTCATCCAAAATGATTAATGAATCACCAAATGTAATCAATTAGTATAAACTACATTGACCATTTAATTGATCTCCAAATCTCAATTGCCCCAAAGTACATCATCATGCTTAAATCTAAAAATAAGGACATTTTTGTCATATACAAATCAGTCTCAAAACCTACCTCAGACTAAAATGATTATGAAGAATAAAAAGTATTATTTATCTTATATTATTTGGCATAAATGAGACAATAAGGTGATTAAATTTAATGTAAGGATGATTTTTTATTAAAATATAATAAATAAAAAATAACATAATAAATCATTCATGGCGGTTCACAACTGTCAACTCGTGTTGACTCCGCGGGTCCATTTGGGTCTGTACGATTTAAGCCCACATAACTAAAATTCAGAAGAAAGATACCTTTGTCATTCTACCCTCGAACCTACCTTCTTTGTTATCTCTGAAATACTGGGTCAGTATCTGGGCCCCGCTGTGGGGTCGTCCTATCCTCCAATGAAGAATAGTTAGCGGCACTGGTATCGGCGTAGGGTGCAACGTGGAAAAGGCGAGAGAAGAAGGAAGGGGCTTCCCTTCTCCTCCGCGTGAAAGCCGAAGCAGACGGGGCGAGTCGGAAGAGGTGGCCGAGGGGGAAAGTTGAGGTCGATCTTGTTCCCCTGCGCTGCAAATTATTCGGCGCCATGTTGGTTGGGTTACCGTGGATTTGGTCGAGAGCTCGATCAGATCAAGCTCTGAGGATTCCGGAAGCTGTGGGGATCTCATGCGGCGATTGATCCGCTCCACTCGAATTCGTACCCAAATTCCTCTGTTGCTCCGAAATCGCCTCTGTTCGTTCCGAATTCGAGCAAGTGGGAATCTCGCCGTCGAGCTCCTCGGCCGTGAATCTCCTTGATTTTGATTCTTGGCTCTTGTTCTTCTTTTGGTAGATATTCGTTTCCTATTTTGGATAATTTTATCCGAAGGTTGTTGATGGAGATCCTTCTTTTATTTCATTCTGCAGAATTGATCTTCGACGGCTGAGGTTTTGTGGCCAAATTGCTGCCGGATATAATCCGTATATTGATCTATTAGGGTTTTGAACAGTGACCGTGTAGGTGAGATGTATGGATAATGAGAGATGGATCTCGAGTACAAAGGACATCGTTTAGAGTCTCAAATCTGAATCTTTGGTTCGTGGTTCTGAATTCTTCATCAGCTAGGTATTGGTTCTTAATCTGGAAGCAGGGTTCTTCTGTCACGATTAATACATCAGGAATTCATTTTTGTGGGCCAAAGGCTAAACTTCTGGGTTCAATTCTGATCCAGTGCTAATCGGTTGGTGAAACATTTCAATCGTTGTCGGGATAGCTGCAAATGAAAAAATCAGAATGAAAGGGCTTGGGAGGGTCTGTCGTCTATGGAAACCCCTGACGAGAGGTTCCCTGATTTAGTCAGCATAGTGAAATCCTGGATTCCTTGGAGGGCTGATCCAGCTTGCATTTCGAGGGCCTTTTGGATGCCTGATGATAGTTGTATGGTCTGTTATGAATGTGACTCACAGTTCACGATCCTCAATCGGAGACACCATTGTCGTAAGTGTGGCCGTGTTTTCTGTGCTAAATGCACCTCAAATTTTGTCCCTGCTAATTTCTATGACATTGAGAATTTCCGAGGAGAGTTGATTAGGGTGTGTAGTTTTTGCTTCAAGCAGTCGGAGGACGTAGCAGCCTCAAGGGATGAAGTTCAACCTTCAGGCCCGATACTTAGTCCTTCCCTTTCAACTACAAGTTTGGCTAGTACCAAGTCCAGTGGTACTGCTAATAGCAGTACATCATCAGCAGTTTCTTTCACATATTCAAGTGGAGCTTACCAGCAAGCCCCTCATGGTCCTGTCTGTTGCCCCAGTCAGTCTATTCAGTTGGAAATCTACTCTGACAAACAAGACATGTTGATATCAGAGACTACCATGAATTCTTTGGTGGATAAAGGCGATCATTCTCCAGCTCATTTCAGGTTCTTGAACAGGTGCAATTATATTTTTGATGTCATTATTTGCCATCATAATGCACTTTTCTATAGGGGAATAAGCTCATAGGTAGATTACTACACTCAGCAATAAGTAACAAATTGCTTTTTCGACATTCATACATGTATAGCATCTCCACAAATATCTTTTGTGCTTATGTCATCGTAACATTATTGGAGCCTCCAATCTTTTTATAATTATTGGCTTTACAGCTCTTGCAAAGTTGAGAAAGCTCCTTCAATGAGATTTAAGCAGATATTGTGACTGTCTATTTTTGAATGTCAATCCTCTGGAAATTGATATACGGATTAGGCAAACTAGAGGATATGTACCTTAACCATCCTTTCAGACAATAAGTGTTCGTAAAGACATTCTGCTGTATTTTGTGCTTGTTCAACCTTGTAGAAACGTCCTTAAAACCATCTTTTCTGAATATCTGGACAAGTGAGGGACGCCATTTACTCATTTTAAATGATAGAAGAATAAGACCATCAAACTTGTGGTGCAGCTGTCTTTCGTGTTTCTGAACGCGGCCAGTAGTCATTGCTATGGCTGAGCCAAAACCAAATGAATCTTCTTAGACATTGTGTCTTGTGGCAAAATAAATCAATAAATAAGATAATTTTGTAAATAACATAATTTCAAGTTACCAAAGCTAGGAAAGACAGAAATGTAAGAGAAGAACATACAGAGATGTTTTCTTCACCCAAATTGCATAATCATTACTTCACAATGGGCACATTTTCCTAAAGCTGAGAATCCTAAATATTGTTTAGTAATTAATTTTGCCAATGATATAATTTGTTTCCTAGTTCTTTCAGGGCACTTTCTGGTGATGAGTAGCCCATATCTGAATCTAGTATGTCTCTTTTCTAAACTCTTTTTTTTTTTATAAGTTCAGAAGTGTCCAAAGCCCTAGTGTTTTAAAGTTTACAACTATAATATGGATTGGTCTATCAGATCTCTTATAAACCAAATTAAGCACTAGGTTGCATGAAATAATCCCAATTGCGGGCATTTGTCCTCGAGATAGTTTGGTTGCTGTCCAAGTTCTTGGTCAAGAGTCAATTCTGATGGTCAATTTGGGAGTTCAGTGTGTTGCTTCCAATTCTGCTAATCATGCTGAGACACTGACGAATTTTAGTGGCAGACTTCATTAAATCAAGATAAATGGTTCTTGAAACCTATGCTTGACTTAAATATTTATGTCAGGGATTCAGTTTGCTCACAAGTCACAAGTGTGCCCATTTTGTAGTTTTTCTACTGTTAGATATTTGGAAACCTTCTTCTTTATGTTCTTGATGAAGTTTTCTTTAATCTAATTAAATGTTGAATTTGCTGTTGATTAAAATTTTCTTGTTATGGTCTTAATCTGCATTTATTACATAGTATAAACAGCAGGATAAGGTATCAAATACCAATCATACTCTATCATGACCACAAAAGCATTGTAATAATGATTACAACTTTTGCTTTTCTTTTTCTTTTGGGAAAACGTTGGTAGTAGCTAGCCATCGCTTGAAATGTAGATAAGTTTTATTGGATCGTTTTACTCCAATGTTTTCTTTTAGTGTACCCAAGGGAATAAACTCAAGTGACTGATTGTTACATGGATTGAGAGAGGAGACAGCATATGAGCAAGGAGTTGGGAGAAGATAAGTGAGTGAAATCTATTATAAGAAAATTCCTTATCTCTAAGAATTTATTTTCCATCTTGTGGGCCTAAGTTAATGAAAAAAGATAAAGAAAAGTTATATCCTAACCCTTCTATAAAACCTTCATTCCGTGATAACTTTGTTAAAACAAGTGTATGTTGGGCATTTTATTCCATGTCTAGCAAGAGCCTCTAATTGAGACTTCTTGTAGTCGGATGTGCCTTTTCTTATTAGACTCCTTAAATGTCATCTTAGATGCCAAAAAATTATGACTACTATACTCCTGAAAAACACATATTAACAGTACATTGTTGAAATTAAAATTTCTACAATAAACCTGATAAAATCCTGTATTTAATATAATTGTTCCATTATTTTGAAAATATTGATTAAGTGCATCTGATATGTTAATTACATTAACTTTAACATAATGCATGAAACCTATGAATCATTACCTGACACTATAGCTTCTTCCATGAGTTCTTTAGCTTGATTTATTACAGTGTAGTTGTGATTAATTCCCTTCATGCTATTTTTCAATCATCACTTGTTGAAAAATTCAGATTTCATATATTTGGTTGAGCTTGTTAAAATTCTGAGAACTTTGTGCTAAATTTTTTACTAGCCCTTGTAGCTTAATTCCAAAGTTACCTTTTCTGATATGTATAGGAATTGTTGTGTCCAGCTAGATCATATTTTACTATAGAAATTTCTTTCATCACACATCTTCATTAATACATCACAATTTCTTTTCTGAATTACAGTTTTGTCATATGGCAATTAAAGTGTTGATGGAAAAAGTCTCCATATTTTTAATGTGAAAGTCAAATCAAGCATGTCAATAATTTGTTTTGGCATTTGACACTTAAATATATAGTTTGCCTCCGATTACAGGAGTGATGATGATGATGATGACTATGGAGCATGTCACTGGGATTCAGAAGAACAAAAATTCCACAACTCTGATGAATTTTATGGTCCAGCTGGTTTCGATGAATCTGAGCAGAGTTATCGATCAAATAAAATTCATCCTGCCGAAGTAACTATTGGAACTCAGGATATTGGCTTGCCATTGACTCACAGCTGTGAATTCCATTCTTCGTTAGGTGTTGATCAGGGGGAAGAACAAGGTTTTTTCAATAATGTTGAATGTGGTTCTTCCTCCATATATGGTGTGGATAGCACTGATGCAGAGCCTATGGACTTCGAGAACAATCAACAACTTTGGCTCCCTCCTGAGCCTGAAGATGAAGAAGATGAGAGAGAAGCTGTTCTATTTGATGATGATGATGAAGAAGATGCTACAGGAGAATGGCATTATCCATGTTCATCAAATAGCTTTAGTAGTAGTGGGCACGGAAGCAGAGATCGATCTAGTGAGGAACATAAGAGAGCCATGAAAAGTGTTGTTGATGGGCATTTTAGGGCTTTGGTATCTCAACTACTTCAAGTTGAAAATATATCCATCTGTGAAGAAGATGGTAAGGAGAATTGGCTGGATATAATAACTTCTTTGTCGTGGGAAGCAGCAACACTTCTTAAGCCAGACACTAGCAGCGGAGGAGGAATGGACCCTGGATTATATGTGAAAGTTAAGTGCCTAGCTTGTGGGCATCTCAGTGATAGGTAAATTTATGTTCTTTTAATGTTTCATCAAGTTGAATACGTGAACTTTCAGTTTATGTTTCATGAGCCTTCTCGATAATGGAAATGTAATTGCTTTAGATGATGTTGTAGCAGACTTGATTATCATGATTTGGCTGGTCTATTGTTGTTTTGTGTAACTCATGGACTCTTTGATTCCTGGGAAATGCTATGGTGCTAATATATGTTCTTTTTCCTTTTTCTTCTAGCATGGTGGTGAAAGGAGTTGTGTGCAAGAAGAACGTGGCTCATCGTCGTATGTTGTCGAAGATTGAGAAGCCCCGCTTCCTAATCCTTGGTGGAGCTCTTGAGTATCAGCGTGTGACAAATTTGCTTTCAAGTATTGATACATTGTTACAGCAGGTTAATTTACCCCTTAGTCTTAAGTTGCATGCATTTAAATTTAGCTTGTGTGCAGGGATTTATGTATGCTATATATGCCTAGAGAGTGAGATGCTTCATTGTCATTTCTGAACTTTTTTTGTTTTCTCCAGGAAATGGATCACCTAAAGATGGCAATTGCAAAGATAGATGCTCATCACCCCAATGTCCTTTTGGTGGAGAAATCAGTTTCTCGATTTGCTCAAGATTATCTTCTTGCTAAAAACATTTCACTTGTCTTGAATATTAAAAGGCCACTCTTAGAGCGTATCGCACGCTGTACTGGTGCTCAGATAGTCCCTTCAATTGACCACCTTTCGTCTCCTAAACTGGGTCATTGTGACTTGTTTCATGTGGAGAAGTTTCTCGAAGAGCATGGCACTGCTGGACAGGAAGGAAAGAAACTCCTAAAGACGTTGATGTTTTTTGAGGGATGTCCAAAGCCCTTGGGCTGTACCGTAAGTTCTCAAGTTTCCTAATTTTAGTTATTGGTTGTTGTTTTGTTGCCAAGTGATGAAAACTCTTCATGCATCACCATTGATATTTCTGTATTTTGGTGTTCCACCAAGCAAATTGCAGACATACCATCAGATTTATGTTTTGCTCAGACAGCTTTTTTTTTTTTTGACACTTTAGAGTGCTGTGCTTGTAATTGTTTTTTTTATAAAAAAGTTTACTCTCGAACAACTTTTCTGTTTTGAAGGATATTTTTAATAATAAATAGAGGATGAGGAGATTTTGATGCTTCTTGTTAGTTATGTTTTTGTAAACACACAAATAAGGCAATTGAATGCACATGTCAATTATGATTTTTCTTTTTTTGTAGATTCTGCTTAAGGGTTCCAATGGTGATGAACTAAAGAAAGTCAAACATGTTATCCAATACGGAGTGTTTGCAGCATATCATTTGGCATTGGAAACATCTTTTCTTGCAGATGAAGGGGCTTCTCTTCCAGAACTTCCTTTGAAGTCTCCAATCACTGTTGCACTGCCAGATAAACCCTCAACCATTAACAGATCTATATCTACAGTACCTGGTTTCACAATCTCTACTGCTGAAAATCCACAACCTAGTAATGCTGCACAAATATCCAGTAAATCAGATTCTAGCAAAGAACTTGGCAACTTTGGAAAATCTGGATTAGTGGCATCACCATTTTGTTCTGAAAATCATACTTCTCATGCTTTCAAGTTTCTCTCTACCTCTGTTACTGCATCTGTTGATACGCATGATCTGCCTGTTGACAAAAATAATCAAATTAAACGTACTGATGAACAGCAAAGTATGGCTCCATTCAATTCTTTGTCTCATTCAGCAACAACTCCAAACTCCTTTTTTTGTGATTCTTCATGTTATACTAGAGATGGCAATAAAGCAAAGGCTGAGATTGGATATATGGAAAATGATAATAAAACAATTCTCCATTGTCCAGTGCCAACGTCCAACTATCTTGATAGTCCAGAAACTTTTGTGAGTGGTAAAAATATGGCTTGTGATATGCAAACAGAAGACACCAAAATGATAGAAATGCAACATGGTTTTTCAGGTTTAGGGACCTCAGATCAACATAATTCTAGGAATGATCACATGTTTCCAAAGGAAGAATTCCCACCATCACCTTCAGATCATCAGAGCATTTTGGTTTCACTATCTTGTCACTGTGTATGGAAAGGGACTGTATGTGAGCGTGCACATCTGTTCCGCATTAAATATTATGGCAGCTTTGACAAGCCTCTCGGAAGATACTTACGCGACCATCTGTTTGATCAGGTTTTTATTTGTACTTAGAGTGCTTTATTTACTTACGAGTGTTTTTCCTGAAGAATTTAATTTGCCTACTAGAACCTCATTATATTTGCTGTGTCAGAGCTATCGGTGTCGTTCCTGTGAGATGCCATCAGAAGCTCATATTTATCGTTATACTCATCACCAAGGCAGCCTGACGATATCTGTGAGGAAGCTTCAGGAATTTCTTTTGCCTGGAGAACGTGATGGCAAGATATGGATGTGGCACAGGTGCCTACGCTGTCCTCGAGTCAATGGGCTACCTCCTGCAACTCGAAGAGTTGTAATGTCTGATGCTGCCTGGGGTTTGTCTTTTGGTAAATTTTTGGAGCTTAGCTTTTCAAATCATGCTGCTGCAAGTAGAGTAGCCAGCTGTGGTCACTCTCTTCACAGGGATTGTCTACGTTTCTATGGGTACTTTTGTTTTCCTTCTATTCTTCCTCACTTGAGAGGATAACGCCCACTCTTACTTATTTGCTGATGCTAGTCTTAACATGTGCAGATATGGGGAAATGGTTGCATGCTTCAAGTATGCATCAATTAATGTACACTCTGTCTACCTGCCACCTCCAAAGCTGGAATTTAACTTCCAGCATCAGAAATGGGTACAAGAAGAAGCAAATAAAGTCTGTTCCACCAATCATTCTTTCTTTGCATTACGGCTGAATTATTTGGCACTCTTGGAAGTTAACTATGTTGTTATAATGACAGGTGGTTAAAACCGCAAATGATCTCTTCATTGCAGTACGTAAGTCATTGCGCCAAGTTGAAGAGAAAGTATTGAATACTGGTTCTCATGATGGTAACATGGAAGTCCTTGAATCGAGAAGACGCTTAATTGAACTTGAAGGAATTCTTCAGAAAGAGCAGGCAGAGTTTGAGGTGAAGTAACATACTCCTCCATTTTCTTTTCCTCCAATTTTTTATCAAAGATTGGCCTCCTCAAGTAGATAGGTTTTAATTGCAATGACCCATTCCAGGAATCTAAACAGACAGTAATGAAAAAGGATGCAAAGATGGGGCAGCCATTCATTGATATTCTTGATGTCAATAGGCTACAAAAACAATTGTTGTTGCAGTCCTATGTATGGGATAAACGGCTAAAATTTGCTGCGGGTTCATTTAGTAACCCTCATGAACTGCTTAATGGTCTCATGACCAGAAATAAGGAGGATTTAACTCTCAGGGCACAGAGGAGCTTCATGAGTTCTGATGTTCTGGTTTCTGCAGTTGCTGAACCCCTTAATGGGAGTGGAACTAGGAATGAACATGACCAATATAAGCAATCTACTACAAATCAACAAAGATTAGATCTGGAACAGGACAAGAACACCAAACTTCTTTCTACTAGCACAAGTGTAAGCGATCAGTTTGATCCTCCAGAATGTGGTCTTGATGTCCGTAGGGTTCTCTCTGATGGGCAGTTCCCAGTTATGGCTGATCTCTCAGACACCTTGGATGCAAAGTGGAGAGGTGAAAATGGTTCTGCATTAGTTGATGGAAGCAAATTGAAATCATTAACCTCAGTTGAAGAAGCACCTGCAAATTCATCTTCTGAAAATCTTGAAGAAAGCATTTGTACTGATATGATGCCAGCAAGATCGGGAGAGAGTGCGAAAGCCATTTCAATTTTGACAAAAACATCATTTTCAGATCTCTATGCTTTTCTTAACAAGAATTGTGACAGTGCCCTAAGTGAGTACCATCCTGAATATATTTCTTTGTTTAAGGAGTTAATGCAGCAAGGTTGGGCAAGGCTGCTTCTTCCCCTTGGGGTGAATGATACTGTCATTCCAGTTTATGATGATGAACCGACCAGTGCTATATCTTATGCTCTTGTTTGTCCTGATTATCACTTTCAGATAACTGATGAGTTTGAGAAGTCCAAAGATGGTAGGGAACCCTCAATTTCCTTGATGATCCAGGAATCTGGAAACTCTCAATCATTTCAATCAGTTGAGGACATTCCATTTGAAAGCTTCAGAAGTTTTGGGTCAGTTGATGACAGCACCTCATCCACCTCTGGTAGCAAGAGCTCGGTGATATTAGATCCACTTGCATCTACTAAATCATTGCATGTCAGAGTTTCTTTTGCTGTGGATGGGCCTCATGGGAAAGTAAGATATTCTGTAACATGTTACTATGCAAAATATTTTGATGCTTTAAGGAGAACTTGCTGTCCGTCTGAACTTGATTTTATAAGGTCTCTTAGTCGATGTAAAAAATGGGGAGCACAGGGTGGGAAGAGCAATGTCTTCTTTGCGAAGTCACTGGATGATAGGTTCATCATAAAGCAGGTTACCAAGACAGAGCTAGAATCATTTATCAAATTTGCCCCCGAGTATTTCAAGTATCTGTTGGAGTCGAAAAGTACATCGAGTCCAACATGCTTGGCAAAGATTCTCGGCATCTACCAGGTATACGTCATGTTGAGCCTTTTCATCTTTCGTTTCTTTCAGGTTTTCTTAGATGTCAACTGTCTGAAAAATTATTGTCAATGTAATTACTTATTTGTACCTCTCTCAAAGTGTTGTGTTAGCAAAAAATACCAGATAGTTGTTACACTTGGTCTTCATTCTGGTGTAGTTTTGACTGATTCAGGCTGCTATTCTATTTTTAGCTATGGTTCTCAGTCTGGAGCTTCTTTTGGCTGTTCCTTTTTTTTTTTAATTTGATGAATTTCATGTTTCTTCTTTGGTACAAACAATCTGGAATTCCTTTTATTGGTTTACCAGTTCTTAGATCCTAGAACTAAATAATAACCATGATCAAGAATAATTACCATTTTATTTACTAGTTTTTCTGATATGCTTTTTGGATATTTGATGCAGGTTGCAGTTAAAAATCTGAAGGGTGGAAAAGAGTCCAGGATGGATGTACTAGTTATGGAGAATCTTTTATTTGGACGGTCTGTGAAATGGTTGTATGACCTTAAAGGATCTTCAAGGTCACGGTATAATGCAGATATAAGTGGTAACAATAAGGTACTTCTTGATCAAAATTTGATTGAGGCAATGCGTACCTCTCCAATTTTTGTTGGAAACAAAGCAAAGAGACTCCTGGAAAGAGCTGTATGGAATGACACTGCATTTCTTGCGGTGAGTAGATAATTTCAGTTAATTATGTTTCTTACCTATAAATATTGGCTATCACATAACTTATTTAAGAAAATTTTCCTTGATCATTTGGGTTATTTAAAAGAGTTATTCTCCTTTGGAAGAAAAGATGAGAATCCATCCTATTTCCACAACTAAACATGAATAAGAATATTTACTTGGGTAGGGTTGAGCAGAGAGAAAAGGAGAAAAAGACTAAAATTAACACTGCATCCTCCATAGATTCCCCTTGGAGCAATTTCACCAGTTTATCAAGTTTTATACTTGCCAGATCTGCACAAAATTGATAGGTGTCTGGACATTGGATGGGGTGCTTGTGTTGCCACTCGTGTTGGAAAACTGCATTCCTTTATTTCAATATTACCAAGGAATAGCAGTATTTGTAGTGTCACAATTTTCTCTCTACCCTCACCAATGAGTCTACCAAGAGTCCTAGACTATATTGTCTTACATTTTCCTCTAAAACCAAAAGAAATTAATCTTCGGCTACTTTTTCCACTGTTCTTCAAATGTGAGGATATGCTGTAAGTCCTGCAAAACAAGGTTTCAAATGTTGATTGGACTGGTACGTTCTGGTTGGAAACTGGTTGGACCAGTATGAACTAATCAGTATACTCTGGTCCAACCAAGGATGGTGTTTATGTCCATGACATTTAAAAGAAGTCTACTTTTCAAAATTGGGTTGACATGAATAATGCTTTCACCATAGGTTTTATCTCCTTACATTTAATAGAAGCTTTTAGCTTGTTATGCCATAAGTAACAGACTTTACATTCTGTTTTTTATGTTAGCATTCACCCAGTATTTGTAGTTTGTTTTTTGACTAGATAAACTTTAAACCAGTACAAGATCCTCATGGTGTCTGCGAACTGAATTTTTCTCATTATTACAATAAAATACAGAATTAGTGCAAATTATTGTTTTCTTGGTTTAAGAAATATATTTAAGGGTATATGTAGATTTGGTTCAACAAGTATTGTAACTAGGCTTGAATTGTGTTTCTGGCAAGCCGACTTTTATCTCAGCCAATCCAGTGAATCTTTTGCATTCAGATTCATTAAAAAAATCTATGATGTTGGAAGATATGCCCCCGTTCTTGTTTGTAAGCCTACTATCAACATCATTAAATTCACATGTATCAACCATAGGTTTGCAGCACATTGTAACCATGACCTCCCATGAACGGTCAATCAGCTGTTGTGCTCTGTTGCACAATCATACGAGACAAGTCTGTACTTTATTTTGCCATGGAATAATTGTGTCTTTCCGTTTCCACTTTGGATCACAACAATAGCTTGCCCATGTTCAAAGTTGATGAAACTAGCAAGTGACATCAGACAGCCAAGTGTTCGTTTCTTAGCAACTCAACAAGCTTTCCTTACCAAAGGCTTAAACATTCACATCTTTTAACTTCTTTTACTGCTGATGTTGTTGCAGTCCATTGATGTGATGGATTACTCTTTACTTGTGGGGGTGGACGAGAACAAGCGAGAGCTGGTTGTCGGGATCATTGATTTTATGAGACAGTATACTTGGGACAAGCACCTGGAGACATGGGTAAAAGCTTCTGGAATTTTCGGAGGGCCAAAAGATGCACCTCCTACTGTGATTTCACCCGATCAATACAAGAAACGTTTCCGAAAAGCAATGTCAGCATATTTCCTTGTGGTTCCAGATCAGTGATCACCTACTGCCATCATCCCTAGCAACTCGCGGACCGACCTTGGCCAAGATAATCTGCTAGGTGCGTCGCTAAATTCGCAACAGGAAGTTCCTGCAAATTTTATGGTGTGTAATGGATGATTGCCCGCATTTTTGGGTTCCATCAATCCTCTCCTTTTTATCTCTTGTAGTATTTCTAGATGACAATCTGATTTGTTGGTTTTTTTTGCCACTTGACATTTATTTGTAATAGATGTGAAACAAAGTCTTATATGCCAAATACTTTGGTTGTATGAACTATGAAGTGTCGTTACCTCGTACCAACATGTACATTATTTATACCACAACATAATTTGTACATTATGTATGCCTCTTATGTCTCGCACCCTATACTTCCTCATGAGATCATCTTCAAACTTCATCATATGACGTTCGTTTTCAAGCATCAGTGATGTTCTGCTGTAAAGATCGTGCAGGTGCATTTTGCATACCTTGCAACCATCCCAATTCGGATGATTACAAGTCCATAACCGGAAACTTGGGATCAGTTCCTTATCAAGAAACTATATGGCTCCATTATTAATGTTCTTGGAATTGTTCCCCTTCATCAACACACCAAACCCATCCACTATTCGTGGAAATTTCTCCTCATCATACCGACGACGACGTTCGGAATTCCGATCTCCCTCGATCATAAATAGACACTCGACCTTTCATGGCATTTGCAGGTTTGCAGGCGTTCGTCGACCTCCTGAAGCCCTAGAGAAAGTCCACAGAATGGAACAAGAGTCCTCCACCCAAGTAAGGCATCTGGTGGATGACTTCTACTTCTATGCGCTCTCCGACACAGACCAAGAGCTCTTCCCCATCTCCGACGAGAAGTACGCCGACGAGCTCCAGCTCCAGGAAGTGCTCATGTCTGCGGTGGTTGCTTCTTGTTCCGTTCGTATCAGATCGCCGGCAGTGAGAACCATAAAGGAGAGGGGCGAGTCCTCTTCGAGCGCCCCAGTGCTCTGCAAGATCTGCATGGACACAGCACCAGCAGCCGAGATGTTCCGGAGCAGCAACTGCTCCCACTCCTTCTGCCGCGACTGCTTGAGCCGGTACATCGGCGCGAAGGTCCAGGAGAACATACTGATGGTGAAGTGTCCGGAGATCGAGTGCAAGGGGGTCCTGCGGCCGGAGCTGTGCCAGGATATCGTCCCGGCGGACGTGTTCTCGCGGTGGGAGACGGCGCTCTGCGAGTCCATGGTCCTCGCGTCGCAGAGGTTCTACTGCCCGTTCAAGGATTGCTCGGCGCTTATGATTGACGATGGGCAGGAGACGGTGATGCAGGCGGAGTGCCCGAGCTGCCAGAGGCTGTTCTGCGCGCAGTGCAAGGTGGGGTGGCATTCGGGGTTGAGCTGCGAGGAGTTCAAGATGTTGGGAACCGATGAGAGGGGGAGAGAGGACCTTATGCTGATGAAGATCGCCAAGGACAAGAGGTGGAAGAGGTGCCCAAGGTGCAAGTTCTTCGTGGAGAAGACTCAGGGCTGCATGCATATTAGGTGCAGGTAACGTATCGTTCTCCATGTTTTGACAATATAATTAATGTCGAATAAGGAGAAAACTTTGGCTCTCGTTGAATTCCAGGTGTGGCTTTGAGTTCTGCTATGGATGTGGATCAAAATATGTGATGACTCATGCTTGCAACAGTGCTTAACCAGATTGGTACTGAAGGATGAAATCTTTTTGGGTCTGAAGAATAAAAAGAGTTTTTCTTTTGCAGACCAAATTTCCTGCTCATGCAACTTTTTGTACTCAGGTGTTGATCCAACTTTGGCTGCAACCTTTAGAATGCACATCAAAATTAGTCGTTGGAAATTAATCTGTGTCTTAATTTTGTGTTTCCCATACTACCGAGTTGCAAGCTTGGAGAATCTGTCATCAATTGTTTAAGATGATGACCTTCACCTGTTTCCTTTTTGTTTCTGCCAAACATATGGGTGGGATTCTTTCCCTGGCGGCGATCCGTAATGACAGTGTGCCTTTTGATTTATGTTGCTTTTGCTGACAGATTGCTGGAAGAATCAAGACCCACTACTGTCCAACAACAATACTTAGTAGAGGCCTTTTATGCATTGGAAATCTAAAGCTTTCCTCCTCGTCTATAATACTCTTTTCTGTGATGTCATCAGATCTCTGATGGTTTTGACTCTGCAACTAGTGCAGCAAATGGCGTTCCCAGTGGGTGGGGCAATGCCGACTGCCGACTCGAGTTCTGTGATGGACGAATGAGCATGTCTGTCTTCCCTATCATCAATGGTTCTATTAGACTACTTTTTTTTATTCTTCGTCATGCTCTATACATCTTCAACTCAGTTCTTTCTCCTTACTGAAAATAATTATAAACATAAATATTTTAATAATATTACTGTTATAAAAAAATTAATATCAGAATCAAAATCAAATAACAATATATCTAAATCAATATTACGTATCTTTTGATGTCATTTATTAATCTTTAAATGCATTTTCATAGGACCCGAAAGATATAATGATGTTGATCTTTAAGGAGAGCTAGACTAGTTTTCTTCTTTTTTATTCTTCTTCTAAGTGATGAAATAGGAGTCATAAAGATTGAGAATAAATCTCATATCGTGTGTAGTCCATAGGAGATTTGTCTATTTATAGATGAGAGTAGAAAGTATAAAAGTTCATTCTATCAAGGACTTCCTTTCTGATAAACAATTGTAATCAGAATTCAACCAGATTTATAATATATCTTATTTAATTAAATATATCATATAATCTAATATTATCTCATTTGGCCTATTAATTAATAAAATATAAAAAAAATTAAAATTAAAAATAAATTAAAAATTTTAAATGATTTTATATAATTAGATTCTAAATTTTTTTAAAGGTATTTTATATATGATCATGAATTTTTCAAATAAATCAATAAATCTAATAAATATAATAATACTATATTTAGTTCAACTACCAATATGAGTCATTCTCATTTATATGTACCATAACATTATTAGTCTTTCTTAATGTAATCTATAATAACTCCTGTAATTTATCTTATCAAGAGAATATTATTATCACATTCAATTATAATATATATATAAATATAAAAAATAAATAAAATATTTGAAATAAATAATTTTAATTAAATATATAATTTTTTAAATAATAATATCATTTTAAACATGCATCACCATATTTTTTATGACTTGGTCACAAGATCCAAAATATATTCTTTAAAGTGTAAAGCTATAGAAAATGAATTAAAAATTATTAAAGTGGTGTTATTTTATTTTGATAAGCTTATAATCGTTAAAGTAATTATCATTCTTAAAGAAAAAAATTACTGTAATGTTATTATGAAATATCTTCAGTGGTCTAATAATTGAGTCAACCACATCAAGTTTTGAGATAAAATTTCATAGCTATAAAGCTTGATTTGTTACCTTAAAGTATATCACAAATTCTACTTCTATTGTTAATGATATAATAAGCTATTGTTTTATAATTTTTCAAGAAATTGGATCTCTAACTAACATTAATATAAATCCTAAAGTGGACTTCCTACTATTGCGATAATTTACAAAATCAACATATGAATATCATGTCACTTCAAGCTGATCTGATATCATGTATATGAGCATATAGTCTTTCATCTCCTATAGATATATCATTACTTTCTTTGTAACTTTCTAAAATTTTGTTTCTAGGTTACTCTTGTATCTATCTAGTATTCTAATTGTAAAATTGATATATAGTCTTATACAGGTTTAAACATATAATAGATTTTCAATATAAAGAATATTATTTATTTGATTCATTTCTAAGTTATTGTTAGGACATTAGCTTTAATTGAATTTTTTACTCTAGTAATAAATATATCACTAGTTGAGTAAAACTATATACTAATCTTTAAGATTTATTCATGAATATCTTAATGCAAATAACATATACTACCTCATTTACATCAATCATCTTAAAATTTTTAGTGAGAAATATCTTGGTTTCGTATAATAAACAAATATCACTATTAACAAATAAAGTATTATATATATATAACTAATATAATAAATTTGCTCCCACCACCTTCAGAACCGAATTTTTCTTAAATATGAAAGAAGTAATAACATTATGAAACTTTATATAGTATTGTTTGAAAACTTATTTAAAGTTATAAATAGATTTCTTAATTTTACAAACCTAACTTTATTTTTCCTTCTCTATAAATCCTTCATGTTATTTCATGTAATTTTTTTCATCTAAATCCTCATTTAAAGATACCATTTTCATATCCATTTGATATAACTCAAAATCATAATGAACTTCTAATGTCATCAAGATTCTCAATGTGTCTTTTATAAAAATTAAAGAAAAAGTTTCGTTACAATCTTTCTAAGAAAATCTTTGAAGATACGTTTGACTTTATATCATTTAATATTATCCTTTAAGTCACATTTTATGTTAAAGACCTATTTATAATTAATTTTTTAATAATTATTGGGTAATCCAATGAGTTCCTAAACATCATTCTAGTTTATTAATTTAAACTCTTCCTTCGTTATATCATACCATCTTTTATATTTTAGAATCGTTGCTTTCCACAACTTCTGAAAATGATAAAGGATTCTTTTTATTCCTATATTATAATTTAATTCTTATAGATATATCAAATAATTATTAATAATGATGTCTCCTTTCTCTTTTAGATCTTTTCAAAACTATTAGAGTTTATCCTTATATATGAGAGTTCACTAATATTATTTTATTATTCATCCTCATTAATTCATTCGAGGAACAACAATCTCTCGATTGAAAAATAATAAAGGAGCATCAACTTGTATCTCCTTTATATTAATCTTTCAAAAATTTTCACTCATACTAATTTTACTATTTTTAAGAATGTTACCTTGTCAGATTCTATTATTTTTATATTATAATTAAGATAATAAAATATGTATCTCTTGAATTTTTTAGATAACTTATAAAATATCAAAAAATACTTCTTGGATAGCCTCAATTATGTACACCTTAAGAGTATTAATAGCATGTGACTTTCAATATATTAAAAATATATAATACAAATCATCTATAAATATGATAAAATATCTTTTTTCAATAAAATAGGAAATATGAAATGGTCTAGAGATATCAATATGAATAATATCAAGGAGTTTATTATATCTTATGGTATTATTGTTTGTATGCTTAGTTTGCTTTCCCTTGATGTAATTTATGTAAATATCAAAATAAATAAGTTTAAACTTTTTAAAATATTATCTTTCACT